ACAGCTGGCCGACCAGGGGCCTTCTGGAGTACCTGGCATGCGGTGCACTTCCTGGCCAGGTCAGCGCAGTCGCGTGCCATCGTCGGCCAGAAGAAGCCCTTGACGACGAGACGCCGGGACATGCTGAAAGGACCCTGGTGTGAGGAGCAGACGCCACAATGAACTTCTTCCATGGCTATGTCGGCCTCATCCTGGTGGAGGCATCGAAGGAGAGTGCCATTGTAGGATCGCTTATAGAGTTTGCCATCTTCGATGGTGTAGCTTGGGGCCCTGAGTTTGGCAAGTTTGGCCCTCTCCTCGTCCGGGGGCAGCTCCCCTGTTGCGATGAAGGTGGCGATGTCGGAGATCCAGTCCTCTGGTCGCTGTTGGACGCACAAGATGGGGCTGGCATGGATGCTGGACATGCTCAACTCCTCGATCTTGGCCAACTGGGAGATGTGCTCCGGGGTGTCCGAGCTGAGTTTGGAGAGGATGTCGGCTTCGGCGTTCTCGGCCCTTGGGATCTGAGTGATCTCGTGGGTTTCAAACGCTTTCAGCAACTCCTCCGCCGCTTGTTTGTACTGCTTCATTCGGCCTTCCTTTGCTTCGTACGATCCCTCCACCTGGCCCACTACCAGTTTGGAGTCGCACTTGATTTTGAGGTGCTTGGCCTTGAGGCCGGCGGCGAGTCTGAGGCCGCTGAGGAGGGCCTCATACTCGGCTTCGTTGTTGGATACCCTGAAGTTGAAGCGGATGGCATAGTAAGCTCTGAATCCTTCAGGGGATATGAGGACGCCGCCGCCGCCGCATGATTTCGCGGCCGACGAGCCGTCAGTGAACAGGGTCCATGTATCGTCCGGCTCCGGCCCGGGGTTGGCGACGGCCGTCTCCCTTGCTGTGCATTCGATGACGAAGTCGGCCAAGGCTTGCCCTTTGATAGATGGCCTTGGCTTGATCTCAATTTGAAATTGGCTGAGGAAAATTGCCCATTTCACCATCCTAGAGGAGCTGGTGGGGCTCCTCATGAGTGCGCCGAGAGGCTGCTGGGTCAGTACATGGACGGTGTGGGCCTGGAAGTAGTGTCCCAGCTTCTTCACCGTATGGACGATGGCCAGCACCGTCTTCTCAATGGGGGAGTACCTGAGCTCGGCCTCCCTGAGTGTCTTGCTGATGTAGAAGATGGCCTTTTGCACCCCTTCGTCCTCACGGATGAGCACGGAGCTGATGGCCGACGTGCTCACCCCTAAGTACAAGAAGAGGGTTTCGCCGGCTTTGGGCTTGGAGAGCACGGGTGGGGACGACAGGTATCTTTTCAATTCGTCGAATGCTTCCTGGCACTCCGTCATCCACTTGAAGCTGTTGGCTTTACGCATGATCTGAAAGAAGGGGAGTGCCCTCTCGGCTGACCTGGAGAGGAACCGGTTTAAAGCCGCCAGGCGCCCCGTCAGTCGATGTACCTCCTTGACGTTGCGGGGCGGCTCCATGTTGATGATAGCCTGCGTCTTCTCCGGGTTTATCTCGATGCCTCTCCGGCTGACCATGTAGCCGAGGAACTTGCCGCCCTGGACGCCGAAGGCGCACTTCTTGGGGTTGAGGCAGAGCCTGAACTCCTTCATTATTTCAAAGATTTCCCGGAGGTCGTCGGCGTGGGAGGTGGCCTGCCTGCTCTTGACGATCATATCGTCGACGTACGCCTCCATCGCCCGACCAAGGACCGCTCTGAAGATCTTGGCCACCATCCTAGTATAGGTGGCGCCATAGTTTTTGAGTCCGAAGGCCATGACGAGGTAGCAAAAGATTCCCTCTGGGGTCATGAATGCCGTCTTCTCAGCGTCATCTTCATGCATGGAGATTTGGTGTTACCCTCTGAAAGCGTCGAGGAACGACATCAACTCGCACCCCGCCGTCTAATCCACCAGCTGATCAATGTTGGGGAGAGGGAACGGGTCCATGGGGCATGCCTTGTTCAGGTCAGTGTAATCAACACACATTCTGAACGTCGGCGGTTTCTGGGCGAGGACGACGTTGGCCAACCATGTCGGGTACTTCACCTCTTTGATATGTTTGATTGAGAGGAGCATGGTGACCTCCCCTTTGACGAAGTCCCGCCTGTCGGCGGACAAGTAGCGCCGCTTCTGTTTGACGCGCGCGGAGGCCGGATCGACGGTCAGCCGGTGAGTGATCACCTGGCGGCTGATGCCTGGCATATCGTCCGGGCCCCACGCGAAGACAACGGCGTATGACCGTACGACGAGGAGGATGGCGTCTCGTTGGTCCTGGGGGAGTTGCTTCCCGACTCTGAGAACCCGTTCCGGCTGGGAGGTATCCAGAGGGATTTCCTCGACCTCCTCGGCCGGCTCCGCATGTGGCCTCTCCTCGTCCTTGGCGACGGCGGCCGTGATGGTGTCTATCCTCTGGCCTTCCCTCTCGGCCGGCCTCGTCAGTTTGAGGTAGCATGCCCTGGCTATCCTCTGGTTTCCTCTGGCGTAGCCGATGCCGTCATTGGTTGGGAACTTCAGGCACAAGTGCTTCATGGAGATGATGGCCTCCAAGTCCTCCAGCGCTGGCCGGCCCAAGATCAGGTTGTGGGCGCACTAAAGGTTGACCACCATGAACTCCATGTCAATTCTGGCGTGGTGGGGGCCGTCACCGACCTCCACGGGGAGGACTATCGTGCCCTCGGCGTCGATAGAGTCCCCGGTGAAGCCGGATAACGGTGTCTTGATCGGCTTCAGCAGAGCTCTATCCAGCTTCAGCTGCCTGAAGGTGTCCAGGTACATCACGTTGACAGAGCTCCCCGTATCGATGTAAGTGCGGTGGATGATGGAGTCACCGATCTCACACCGGATGACGAGGGATTGGGCCCATTTCTTTCTCTGAGTGGCGGAGTCCCCCCCAGTGTTTCCACCTACGATGAGGTGAATGTGATTCTTCTTTGGCGGGGACTCTTCGAAGTCCTCGTCGTCGCTGAGCCTACCAATCTCCTGCTTCTTCGCAGAGGGTTCGCCCCCATGTTTGCCGGTGTTTACCCACGTGTTTTTGCGTGGGCCACCTTTGACAAACTGGGAGAGTTCCCCCTGGCGAATAAGGCGCTCGATGGCCTTCTTCAGCGTGATGCAATCGTCGGTGTTGTGCGACGAGTTCTTGTGGAACCGGCAGTACGTGCCGCCCTGCTGGATGGCAAGGATCTCCTCGACCGGCCGAGGAGATTGCTCGATGAGGCCGTGCTTCTCGGCATAATCGAGGATGGTGCCGACCGGGTGAGTGAGGGAGACCCCCGGCCGTTCCAACCTCGGACGCCAGTGGCGATCTTTCTTACTATGTCCACCAGAGCCGTGACGGCCCTGGGCACCCTGGCCGGCCGGGGACGGACCCGGGGCCGGCGAAGGATTTGTCTTCTTGGAGGGATGGCCCCCCTCTTTCTTGTGATTATGGAGCTCGTCGGCGTTGGCGTACAAGCCTCCGCGCTGGAGCGCCTTGGCGTACGACCTCGGGGGGTCGGTGATAAGGCTCCTAGCGTACGGGGAGCTGCGGAGGGCTCCCTGGTACGAGGAGGGTGCGCTCGTCGGCCCCTTCGACCTCCTCGGTCTCCCTCGTCCACCGATCAATGAATGACCGGAGGGACTCCTCGTGCTGCTGCTTGATGGAGAGGAGGTGGGTGAAATACTTCTTCGCACGCTTCCTCCCGGCAAAGTGAGTGAGGAAGCGTTGGGCAAGATCCTGCCACGAGTCGATGCTTCCTTCGGGGAGCGCGTTGAACCACTCGTACGCTGGCCCCTCGAGAGTAGAGAGGAACCAACGGCAGAGGTATTCATCGGACGCGTTCACCATCAGCATGTTGTTCTGGTAACGGCTGAAGTGCTCCTGAGGGTCTGATCGGCCGTCGTAGGACTTGATGGCGTTCCCCCTGTACTTCTCCGGGATGGGGGCCGAGAGGACCCTGTCGGTGAAAGGGGTCCTGGTCCTGACCTGGATGATGGGGTCACCTCGCCCCTCGGCCAGCTCCCTCTCCAGGGCGCTAACCTTGTTCATGAGCGCGTTGAGGCCGGGGTCGTTGGAGGCGCCGGCCGTAGGGATGTTGGCCGACTGCTTGGCCTCCATCTGAGCTAGCCTCCTTTCCAGCTGGGCGATGACCTCGTCCCAGGGGTCCCTGGCGGCCGCAGCGGCGCCCGGCTGGTTCCTTATGCGCTCGTTGTGAGCCGCGTTGATCTGGTGACGCACGTCATCCTCGTGCAATTTTCCCTTGCCCTTGTCCGGGCGGGGCTGGTCCGCTGTCCGGGACACAGACCCCAAGCTTTCCCTCGGCGAGCCAGGACGAGGCTCACCAATCCGTCCCGCCATCCTCTCCGAAACCGGACGACGGCGCGTGTCACCTAGCCTATTGAAGGCAGAGGCTTTTCCACACGCTGGGGTCTGCCCAGGCCGAAGAGGGGAAGCAGGGTGGGAGTGGGACGACGCCGTGTCCGGGGGCACCACCCCCTCATCGTTGCCTATCTGGACGGCCAACGGCGGGGGCTGAGGAGGTTGGGTGACGTTCCCCCCGGTCCTTGGCAAGAGTGCGCTGAGGACGGTGGGGTTCTGAGCCAGGCTGGCGATGATGGCCGACAGCGCGGCCTGGACCTGTGGATCCACGGACGGAGAGGCCGCGGCGATAGGCTGGGCCGGGGCGTGATCTGTCTTCTCAGCTCGCTTCTTGTCCAAGCCGAGGCGGGCATCAGGGGCTTCGCTGTTGAGTTGGTTGCGGAGGCCCGTCGTGAGGTTGAAGGCCTCCTGGAAGAGGTCCCCTCCGCCGGCCTGGTCGGTCGTGGCGTCCTCATCGTGCTCCCTGGGCTCTTGGTCCTCAGGGATGGCTTTGCTGACGAGGTTGCGGTTTGACTTAGTTCTCCCCATGATCAGTGGTTAGCTGTGCTTGGTAGCGACGAAAGGTGCTAACTTGATTGTTCTAGCTCTCAACGAGAGCACCAAATGATAGAGTATATCTAGAGAGAAGTGAGAGCTAGAGAGAGAAGTGCAATAATATGCTTCAATAGAATGAATTTGTAACCCCTATAACTACTCCCAAGGGGAGTATTTATAGAGAAAATACGGGCTGGGCTCCCAAGCCTTGGGCTTGGGAGGCCCATTTACAACTGGACCGCTACTGAGCCGAATACAAAGCCACTAATGGGTTGTACAAATAAGTAAGTGTAGAATCCGGTTCTGTGGAGTCTTCGTGGCCGACGAGGGCGTGGCTGACGCGGGCGCGGCCGACGAGGGCGCGGCCGACGAGGGCACCCGGGTTCCTTGGCTTCAGGACCGTAATCTGAGTTGGCACCTTTTCGGCCGACGGGGGCGTCTTGGCCGACGAGGGCGCCACTCTGTGTCTTGTGCTTTCTGTTCTTCCGAGTATGTGGGTCCGGGGGCGCAGGCCCATATACTCCATCAGTGACCATCGTCTTTGCATGACGATCATCTTCAAATTGCTGGACAAAATGTGTGCAGTGTTGTGCCCTTGTAATTCCCTGGTGAAGACAGGCTCCCAGGTAGGTAGCTGGTAGTGTGGACGTGTTCATTTTGGTGAGCTTTTCAATGCGCCTCCTATCCACCGTTTTCAGATTTTTGCTAACTAGAACCTTGCTTTTTGTTAGGTTGACTAGCTGTCCTGTTGCTTTGGCGTAATTCCCCAGTAGTTTCAACAATTGTTTGAGGGATGGAGCTCCACCGTTCATGAACAAGAAGACGTCATCCGCAAATGCCAGCTTGCATATAGGAGAGACCCCCTACCTCCTATTTGATATGATGTGATTTTATTTTGGTTTATGCTGTGTTGCATTCCCCTTGTAAAGCTTTCAGATATGAGTAGGAATAAGTATGGTGATAGGGGGTCACCCTGCTTTACCCCATATGTGGCGGGAAATATCCATGGGGCTGCCCGTTAATAAGAATGGAGATCTGATTTCCAGAGAGATTGGCCATGATGATTTTGATCAGTCTCTCACTAAGACCAATTTTGGCTAAGGCAGCGGTTAGAAACTCCCATGAGACCCGATCAAACGCTTGAGCTAGGTCTAGTTTTACCGTGATGTTATTACCCCTGACTTTCTTGTCCAGGTGGTGTAGCAGCTCCTTAGCCAACATGATGTGATGATGGATGTTCTCCCCTTCCATAAATCCAATTTGCTCCTTAGATATGAACCTAAGCATAATGGTTTTCAATCTGGTGGTTAGGAGTTTGGTGCATACTTTGTTTAGGAAATTAGTGAGGCAAATAGGGCGGAAGTTGTTGAACGTTTTGGCTGATTTAGTTTTAGGGATTAGACTAATAAGTAGAAAGCTCTTATTAAACAAATATTTTTTACTTTTAATATTTATTGTGCCGATTTAAACTTTATGACACTCACTTATTGTACATTTTATTTAGAATAATGAATTATTCTAGGGAAATTTGTCAATTTAGTCCTCGTACTTTCATTAAAAAGTCAATTAGGTTCTCGTACTTTTAAAAAGATCAATCAAATTCCCGAACTTTGTAAAAGCGTTCAATTGAGTCCATTTGCAGGTTACATGCCATGTCAGCATGTCACCAGCTGATGTGGCACACGTGTGGCAGCCCAATCAACAATAATTTTGCTGACATGACACACATGTGGAAGTCCAGTCATCCATTTGCTGATGACGTGGTGCACACGTGGACCGACATGTGTGTGTCACGTCAGCGAGTGACTTGCTAACATGGCAAGTAACCTGCGAATGGACTCAATTGAACGTTTTGATAAAGTTCAGGGATTTGATTGATCTTTTTAAAAGTACAAGGACCTCATTGACTTTTTCACGAAAGTACGAGGACAAAATTGATAGTTTTCCCTTGATTCTAAAATTAATTTAATCATCGAAAATAGTAAGTAGCAAATTCTAATAAGTGGTGTCAATTATTTTCCCCTTCATTTAATATTGTCTTCATTTAATATTTATTGTATGGGATTACACTTTATGGTACTACCTTATTGTACTCCTATTTTCAAACATCGTAAAATCCTAAAAAGGTGTTCTATTTTAATATTTAATTAAATAATGAGTAAAAATATACGTAACAACTGCTCTTTCTCATGCGTATGCATATGTACTATATTAGTAAATACATAAAGGAGTGAAATATACTTGACCTTATATTGTTGTCCTACTTACTTCAATGCGCAAGGGACCCTAAGCCCAACAAAAGTGAAAAAAAGTTTGGCCAAATATTGTTGCTTTTATACTAAGGTTGAGTAGGTTGAGTTTTTGGGCCTATCCAATATATATTTTTCATCTAGCCAACAATAAGACCCACTAAGATGAATAGTATAGGAATCGTAAAAACATGGGATGTTCCCCTCACTTCTGCTTGTATAGATCTAAAATTTTATTATTATACCTTTGGTATGCCGCCCCTTGTACGGATCTAAAATTTTATCAATATCACTCTGAAATTGTGAATATATTCATATTGTTTTTGACCCTCAATTTGGGTCTTTTAAATTTGTCGGGGTATTAAATACGGAGTATCATTTTGTCAAATAGTGAAAGTGCGAATGTGCTTTAGCCTTTATAGTTAAAAATGGTTATGAAATGGAAATGTGATTTTGTGATTGATGGAGTATATGGGTCCAGGCCCCAGGACCCACATACTCAGAAGAAAAGAAAGCACAGCTGTCACCTAGTAGGGTCTCCGTCGGCCACGCCCCCATCAGCCAGGGAGACATCAACCCAGAATATGGTCCAGAAGCAAGGAGAACCGGGTGACCCCGTCAGCCAGGTTTCCATCATCCATGCCTCCGTCGGCCACAGAGAACTCACATAACAGGATTTCATACTTAGTCATTCCTACACATCTTGTATTCGGCCCAGTACCGGTCCAATTGTAGATGGGCCTCCCAAGCCCAATACTTGGGAGCCCAGACCACACTTTCTCTATAAATACTCCCTTTTGGAGTAGTTGTAGGGGTTGATAAAATCATTAATTGAAGCATTTACTGCACTTCTCTCTCTAGTTCTCACTTCTCTCTAAACAATTACTCTATCATTTGGTGCTCTCGTTGAGAGCTAGAACAATCAAGTTAGCATCCTTCGTCGCTACCAAGCACAACTAACTGATCATGGGAAGAACTAAGTTCAATCGCAACCTCGTCGGCTAGACCATCCCTGAGACTCAGGAGAACAGGGAACACGAGGAGGAAGCGACGGCCAACAAGGCCGCTGGGGGAGATGTCTTCGAGGAAGCCATCGACCTCACAACTGACCTGCGCCACAAGCTCAATGGCGGTGCCCCAGACGCCTACATCGGCTTGGACAAGAAACGCGCAGAAAAGGGCGACAATGCCTCGACGCAACCGGACTCTCCTGCTAGTGACCCTCAGGTCCAGGCCGCACTCTCGGCCATCATCGCCAGCCTGGCCCAAAATCCCACCGTCCTTAGTGCACTCATACCTAAGACTGGGGCGAACACTACACCGCCCCCTCAACCCCAGCCGTTGGCCATCAGGATTGGCAACGACGAAGGGGTGCAGCCTCAAGACACGTCGTCATCCCGCTCTCACCCTGCCTCCCCGCTTCGAGCTGGACCGGCCCCAGCGCGTGGAAAAGCCTCAGCCTTCAATAGGCTAGGTGACACGCGCCGTCGGCCATTATCGGAGAGGATGGCAGGACGGATCGGCGAGCGTGAGCTTGGCTCACATAGGGAAAGCTTGGGGTCTGTATCCCGGACAGCGGATCGGCCCCGCCTTGACAAGGGCAAAGGGAAACTACACGAGGATGACACGCGCCACCAGATCAACATGGCTCACGCAGCCCGTGTGCGTAACCAGCAGGGCACCACTGCGGCCGCCAAAGATCCTCGGGAAGAGGTCATCGCCCAGCTAGAAAGGAGACTGGCCCAGATGGAGGCCAGGCAATCGGCCAACATCCCTACGGCCAATACGTCCGGAGATCCTGGTTACCACGCGCTCATGCATAAGGTCAGCGCTCTGGAAAGGGAGCTGGCCGAAGGGCGAGGTGACCCCATCATCCAGGTCAGGACCCGGACCCCCTTCACTACAAGGGTACTTTCGACTCCTATCCCCAAGAAGTACCGGGGAAACGCCATCAAGCCCTACGACGGCCGCTCCGACCCTCAAGAGCACTTCAGCCGCTATCAGCACAACATGCTGATGGTGAACGCGTCGGATGAATACCTCTGCCATTGGTTCCTTTCCACTCTGAAGGGACCGGCGTACGAGTGGTTCAACGCGCTCCCCGAGGGAAGCATCGACTCATGGCAAGATCTCGCTCAACGCTTCCTCACTCAAGCAACAACATGACATATCACTCTGGTCGTTCGTCGACCGATGGACGAGGGAGACCGATGAGGTAGAGGGCACCGATGAGCGCACCCTCTTGGCCTGTTTCAGGGCGCCCTCCGCAGCACCCCATATGCGAGGAGTCTCATCACTGACCCTCCAAGGTCCTACATGAAGCGCCTCAGCGAGGAAACTTGTACGCTGACGCCAATGAGCTCCATAGCCACAAGAAGGACGGAGGGCACCCCTCCAAGAAGACAAATCCCACACCTACCACCGGTGCACCCTCGGCCGGTCAGGAAGGACAGAACCGTCACAGGTCCGGCAGACAGAACAAGAAGGATCGCCCGTGGCGGCCTAGGATGGAAAGGCCGAGGACCCCTCTCACACACTTGGTCAGTACCATCCTCGATTACGCCGAGGAACATGATCTTATTTAAAGGGATCCTCGGCCAGCGAAGGAAATCTATGTCGTTCACCAGGGCGGCACCTACTGCCGTTTCCACCGAAACACCTCCCACAACACCGACGACTGCGTCACGCTGAAGAAAGCCATCGAATGTCTGATTCGGCAGGGGGAACTCTCCCAATTTTTTAAAGGTGGCCCACACAAAAATATGTGGGTAAACACCGGTAAACCTGGGGGAGGACCCTCTACGAAGAAATGGGAAATCGGTAGGCTCAGCGATGACGACGAGGATTTTGAGGAGCCTCCGCCAAAGAAGAACCACATTCACCTCATTGTGGGAGGAAACACTGGGAGGGGCTCTGCCACCCAGAGAAAGAAATGGGCTCAGTCCCTTTACGTCGGCGAGGTATCTCACGTTCCCCCTCAGCCGAAGAAGCAGCGGACGAAGGCGATCACCTTCACTGACAAGGATTTGCCTCCGGGCACCGGATCACACAGGGACGCCCTCGTCATCCGATGTGAGATAAGCAATTCTATCATTCACCGCACTTACATTGATACAGGGAGCTCCGTCAATATTATGTACCTTGACACCTTCAAACAGCTGAAGTTGGACAGGGTGCGGCTTAAGCCGATCCGGACGCCGTTGTCCGGCTTCACCGGGGACTCTATCGACGCCGAGGGCACGATAGTCCTTCCCGTGGTGGTCGCTGATGGCTCCCATCGCACCAAAATAGACATGGAGTTCATGGTGGTCAACCTTCAATGCGCCCACAACTTGATCTTGGGGCGGCCAGCATTGGAGGACTTGGAGTCCATCATCTCAATGAAGCACCTATGCTTGAAGTTCCCTACCGGTGGCGGGATCGGCTACGCCAGGGAAAACCAGAAGATAGCCAGGGCATGCTGTTGGTCGCGGTTGTACTGGATACAGTCTAGAGGGGGGGTGAATAGACTGTATTGGTTTTTAACTTTTTCAAGCTAATTACCAGATTTAACAGAATAGCCTGTTCTGTTGGCAGAACAGACTGTCAGCGGATGGGGTTCTGGTAGGGATTCTGTCAGATTAGCCTCAGAGAAGCAAAGGCAGTAGGCCTTCTGTTAACTCACAAGACACGTTCTGCTGAACACAGAGACCAAGTCTTTGGAGTTAATCAGTTCAAACTAAATGCAATAAGTAAACGCAGTAAGTAAATGACATCAGGGATTTTTATAGTGGTTCAAGGAACGACTTGTTCCTCTAATCCACTGTTCCACTAAGTTTGTAAAAACGTCCATTTACAACGCCTTAGTCCTATCACTTAAGAAGCTCTCCACGTCTTCTTCAAGTGTAGATGTCTCCTGGGATGCACTTCCTGGTTTCCTTTAAGACTGGTCCTTTCACTGAGCTTCCCGGAAGTATCACCACTTCACTGCTCCAGGTACTTGGACGTCCTTC